CGACTTTTGCCCCACGATCATTGTTGCACATCTTTGTCATCGATGGTCCGAGATTGTACCGTGGTCGATTTTTGCGATAGTTCCTTGAGTTTGTTCAGATGAACCCTGAACTGTCTGGACATCACCACTACCAGCTGGTGCTGATTCTTGATGGCTAGTACCGACTTGATTGGTCCCTTGGGTCGACGGATCTGGAATGTTGTAATAAGCCGGCCCACCTTGATCAACCGGAAACCCATGAATTGCCTCTCTCATGGCATTGTGGAATATGTCCACGAAAGCTTCGTTATGGCTTGATATGGCATCACGAACATATTTGTCTACAACTTTCTTAAAGAAACGACTGTCTTCAGCTTCAGTTGTTTCTATCTGCCCATGTAACAGAACTCTTGGTAGTGGAAATTTCTAAACAATTGTGTTGTCACATGTTTTGGTGTAGGACAACAAACATTTGTTCTGAAACTCTTCTATAGCTTTGCTAATGATACCCTTATCCCCATCAGGTAGATCTTCATAATGCAGCATAAGGATGTCGTTGTTGTTGTGAACCGCCATGACAATTGTGGTGTCCCACCGGGCGTGCCAGAAACATGTGTTGACATAGAATTCTCGTCCTGTGCTGAGGACACACGCAACAAGCCGGAAGGGTCTGCTCGATGGAGCTATAGATCCGCCTAGCTTCAGCGCAGGGGTGGTCGATCCTGCGCACTCCTACCGAGACATGCCAGTCAATTTAACCCTATAATTGACAAGGAGAGAAAGTTCATCAGTAATTAAGGGCGGAACTTGCCGGTGTTGCTAGACAGTCCTGAATGTACGGCTCTGAGACCCGATATGAAAGGAGATCGACTAAACAGTCAATTCCAGCATATTCATGAGAATAAATCGGTTAAAGCTCATTGGATTGTATAAGAAGAATCGGTTATCATTCAGGGTAAATGTCATTATTGAACAAATATTAATCAATGGCAATAAGATGTCAACAATGATTGGTTTATGCTAAGCCAATGATTACAAGTAACCGAACCCCTTTTTATATAAAGAAACAATTCAGCACCACTTAACCGTTTAATAAAGGTAAATCTAATGAACATGTTAGATCTCATCTATCGCTATGACCAGTGGGGCATGAGGTAGAATCATGCAGGCCGTAGAAATAACAATAGACTCGACGACCCTAACTCATTACTAATATCAGTGGGGCATGAAGCAGAATGATGCAGGCCGTAATACAATAATAAGATCATGGGGCTAACATATCTTTCAACCTATCTTTACTTCAACGGTCTCGTGATGCGAACTGTTTGTGAAAGCACTCGATATCGGCTAAAATAGCCGATTCAGGCATAACGCATAGCTAAAGTCATGTCTTATCAGCAATAGATCTATCAAATAACGATCCCCACTCCACAGTGCTAACAGTGGGGTGTGAGACAGAATCACACAGGCCATGATAATGGGCCATGGAACGGTTCTCGCTAGCCAATAAATCTACTCAAGACGCAACATGCTTTAACCGCACGCTATGCACGATCAAGATTAATGTAAAATAGCCGATAAAACGTAACTCATCGTTTAATGTATAGATTAGATCAGTTTCAGATTAACAAACGATGGGCTAAACAAGATATAAGGCCGATCTAGATCAATCCCAATCGGGCAGAGTGATATTGCTGTAATTTAGATAAATAATGAAAGCAATAAGCAATATCGGTAACTTAATGAATCTACAAAAGACTGCCATTCTAAGGTAGAGCCGATAACTTGACCTTGATCTAGTTCATGCAGTGGGGGTCGATCGGATCGATGCAGTCATACTTGAACTAGGCAAGAATCGATAACTAACTTATACCAGAGTCGCAGTGGAGGTCGACCGGATCGATGCAGCTGTACGAACAGAGGTATAAGTCATGACGGTACTTACAACAAGCAGTGGAGGTTGACCGGATCGATGCAGCCGTACTTGCTGAAGAACTCGCCGAGATCTACTCTATTCTTACTCCTAAGGGGTGGCCGGAGCCAAAAAAAGTAAATAACTTGTATATTGGATTGATTTTTGTTCTTTACAATAGCTGGGATTTGATATTTATACCCGGAGTCTAAACATGAATTCTACTCGAGCACGATTCGTTACAATCTTTGGCATAAACGAAAACATTCATATTTTAAGATAACTTGGACTCTGATCTTTCCCTTCTTGCAGAGTCCGATATATAGTTTCCTGGCGCCAACCGTAGTTCATCATCGCTATCCACTGACGTCATCCCAAGAGATCCGATTCTAGAGTCGTATCTAAATCGGCTGACATCGATCCTCATTCAATCGATTTCTTGATTGGCACAATCTTGGAAGTCTGCGAGTTCCCGCATTCTTTTCTCAAATTTTGGTGTAAACAATATCTACTAGATGGGCTTAGGCCACCACTCGGATAGGGGGTGGGCCGAGACGCTAGGTCAAGACCAGCTGCTATATGACTCGGAATAACACTGTCGTGTGCCCCAAGGTGTCGGGAGTCCAAGACTAGCTAGGCTTTCTATAAACCTATTGTAATACGATACGAAAGATAGGCGCCGACTTGGCTCAGGACTCCGATTGTAACTCCCTTCCGGACTATATAACCAGGGGTAGGGTACCCCCTCAAACATCCAATCTCGTCTCCAGCATAAGAAAACAATAGCCACCAAAGCAGGACGTAGGGTATTACGCCATTGGTGGCTTGAACATATCTAAATCGTGTGTCTCTGTGTCTTTGCTACCATCTACGATTCGCCTCGACAACCCTACATATAAATCAACTCGTCTGCACAAAGCTATGACAACTATATATTGTAAAATTACTTTCATAAAGCCCCAAGTAACATAAACTTTGTATTGTCAATATATGTAACTATTTATATATCGATGATATTCACATGTAACTAATTTTATGGTCAATGTTAAAAAAAATTGAATCAGTAAACAACTTATATTTCAGATTGGACGGAGTATGAAACAGTGGTTGAAAATATCTCAAGCACTGATTGAAGCATGTACGACAAAGCTTCCCATTGCAATAATGAGAACAAATAGGTGGCACTCTCGGCTTTCTACGTGGACTAATGACAAAGAGATGATGCACATCATGCCGCATATAATTGCAATGGACTAATGATGGTTTATCGGCTCAAGCAGTAACAATAGACATCAGATTTTGATTTTTACAGGATGTTGGTCTTGTCAACTAAAAAAATGCTTATCGCTTGATTGGGAAGGCAGACCCAGCATCTTCTTTCATGAGATAGAACACGCAATGGTGACCCAAAGTAAGTATATTCTCTCTCGATTTCTTCCTTTCATTCCAGGTCCAACCAAATCATGATGTTGTAGGATGATGTGTTACACCATCAGAATAAGAAGATCTTTCTATTTTCTTTTTTCTTTTTTTCTCGAGCGAGGTTAGAGCACATACTAAGGTATAATATCAGCTGTCTATAAGAGTTGCCGCGTAGGATTTCTAGCGATGCAAAGAGGTTATAATGAGGAGAGAGATTGTTGTCTCTTGACGAAATGACTATCTATAATATAAGAAAAGAGTCGAGACGTGTCTTGTACGGTATCTACTATGAGGCAACAACAATAGATTGTGGGTTATACAAGCTGTCATTTGAATTATCTAAAAATGACATGTACAGTGTATAGACAGCAGCCATTTCAACTGTTGTATGTATCCTTACAGAATGATAGAAGTAAAACTCTCATGCAACAAATGCTTGACAAGGGCTCTAGAGTTTACGCGATGTGCATGCCTAGACTCAACTCATAAGCTACCCTATTTGGTCTTGCCATGTAAATTAAATATGGTAATTATTGAGGCCGTTCGCTGGTTGGTTTCTGGACTGATAAATCCGGCTGGTGCTGGTTTGTTGTGAGAGAAAACATTGTTGACTGGCTGATAAGCCCTGACTGAAATAAAAAAGCGAACAGGCTGATTATCTTGGGATACATGTCAGAATATGATGTAATTATTACTTGCTCAAAAGAATATCTTCAATTTGGCATTGAGCCTGTTCGGCTGGGGCTGAAACGATCGTATACGATCGTGGATTATTACTGCTGGCTGGTTTAATGTGAGAGAAAAATACTATTCTGCCTGAAAATTTACGATCGTTTACGACCAAGCGAACAGACCGATTATCTTTTTCGTTCGTACTTACTCTGACTGTTAATCACTATCAGTACATACTGACAGGATGTACCGATCTTTCTTGATCGGAAGACTTGGACAGTTAAACTTGAATAGATTTGGACGACACATACATCGCAGTACATACTGACAGGATGACCGATCTTTCTTGATCGGAAGACATGGACAGTTAAACTTGAATAGATTTGGACGACACATACATTGCATTATTCTTTTTGACGGCTGGGAGAAGCCGTACCATACCGAATAGCCATGAAATATGTTAGGTTCCTAGCACGGTTTTAAAATTCTAATGTCGTTTTGGCTGTCCCTCAATAAACCCAGCTACTCGGTGACAATCTGGAAGCGTTACATTGACACATGAATGAGACAGCACACCATCCTCTTTCACACATGACATCACCATCCTCTTTCACACATGAATGAGACAGCACACCATCCTCTTCCCCCCCTGTTGGGCGCCCACGGACCGATAGGTGCCAGGCGAAGCTCCCATGGGCGGCCAACAGGTGAACAGGGGCGGAGCCGGAGCTGGCCGGAGCCGTGCCAAACAGGTTAGGAGCGGGCAAAAAATGGACAGAAATTACTTCTTTAATCGAATGCCCACCCTGCCAAATTCCAAGGGATTGCTTCCTCCAGATATATTGCCTTCACTTTATATAAGAGTCATCGTCCATGGGTTTCTTGGCCGCAGCTCCTTCAGTTGGCTCTTGGTCGGCTTCTTGCCCATTACTGCTCTTCCTGAGAGAACCTCGAATTCCGCAAGAATTTAACTCGCTGTTGCAGGGATCGTTGAGCTCACATGCAGGGGAAAAACATGTCGGGAGCTGCTCTTGTTGCAATAGTAGCTTCGATCGGCAATCTGCTTCAGGGGTGGGACAATGCCACCATCTCAGGTAAATCCTGTGGGCTAGGTAGATTCGTTTTTATCAGGCATGCTGATGATGTGATGCCGTTTCTCATCTGTTGTAGTCAGGGTACGGTCGTTGTTCTATCAGATGATTCCTAGGGCCCTTGGGATCATCTTTTGTTCACTGCAAGTTGTGGTCCCCAGGAACACGTGTAGTGGTCTCCTCAAAGTACATGGATAGCACTTTAGAGAATTCGATCAGTTGGATGTCCTTTGATGCTGACAAAACATGGAAGTTTCATAGTCTCAGGATTATAATGACAATTTATATAAGCTGTTGAAATAAGAACTGCTCAATTCCTTATGTGGTGTCAAATTATTAGCATTTGCTATGCTTTGTTATCGACATGTTGGAAATATTATGAAAAAAGTCTATATAACCCCCTCAACTATTTAGGGTGGACGACTTCATCCCCAAACTATAAAATCATATTTTTTACCCCTGAACTTTCTAAAACCGGTCAAATAACCCCCAGGCAGTTTTTGGAATTTGGTTTTGCTACAGTGACAGTTGTTTTATCTTTTTCTTTTTTATTTATTTAAGCTAAATCTTTAAAAAATCATAGTAAATCACAGAAAAATCATAAAATAGAAAATCTAATTTTGTTGGACTCCACGTGAGTAGATCTACACAATGAACATATAATATGGTATGCTTTAGTGCAAAGTTTTTGTTGTAGCTTTAGATTTATGCTTTTCTATAACTAATCGGAATAATTCATAGCTGCAACTTTTATGGTCCAATTATGGTGAAATATTTATGATGAGCTAATTATTGTATGCTTGAACTGTAGTAAAAATTTCATACTCATTGGATCATGTATAACTTAGTTATATATTTATTTAGGTTTATGCTTGTTAAATCTATGCTTTATCTATAACTAAGTTATACATGATTCAATAAGTATGAAATTTTTACTATAGTTCAAGCATACAGTAATTAGCCCACCATAAAAGTTTCAACATAATTGGCCCATAGAAGCTGCAGCTATGAATTATTCCAATTAATTACAGAAAATCATAGATCTAAAGCTACAGCAAAAACTTTGTACTAAAGAATACTATATTATATATTCACTGTGTAGACCTACTCATGTGGAGTCCAACAAAATTGGATTTTCTGTTTTATGATTTTTCTGTGATTTACTATGATTTTTAAAAAATTCAGCGGAAAGAAATAAAAAAGAAAAAGACAAAGCCACCGTCACTGTAGCAAAACCACCGTCCAAAACCGTCTGAGGGGTTATTTGACCGGTTTTAAAAAGTTCAGGGGGTAGAAAATCCGGTTTTATATTTTGGGGGGTGAAGTAGTCCAGCCTGAATAGTTGAGGGGGCTATGTAGACTTTTTCCGAAATATTATCTTGTGTAAGATGAGCTGGGGTAAATATTGACAAGATAATTGTCTTCTCTAGGTGCTCTATTATATATAAAGAAGGAGTTCAAACTAGAAAGTGAGCCTAATGTGGAGGGGCTGATTGTGGCCATGTCACTAATTGGAGCAACTATCATTACAACATTCTCTGGACCAGTATCAGACTGGATTGGCCGGCTCCCTATGCTCATCCTCTCTTCAGTTCTGTACTTTGTTAGCAGCCTCATTATGCTATGGTCCCCGAATGTCTATGTACTACTGCTGGCACGTCTTATAAATGGATTCGGTGTCGGCTTGGCTGTCACTCTTGTTCCTCTGTACATTTCAGAAACAGCTCCTCCAGAGATAAGAGGTTTGCTGAATACACTGCCACAGTTCAGTGGGTCAGGGGGGATGTTTTTGTCGTACTGCATGGTGTTCGGGATGTCACTGCTGCCATCACCTGATTGGAGGATTATGCTTGGGGTTCTCGCGTTACCTTCATTGTTTTTCTTTGGTTTGACAATATTTTATCTGCCTGAATCACCAAGATGGCTTGTCAGCAAAGGGCGAATGGCAGAGGCAAAGAAGGTGTTGCAAAGATTACGTGGGAAGGATGACGTCACAGGTCTGTATGACAAAAACTTTGATGCTCATTTCATCTAGGGTTCTATCTGACTGGTTTCTACTGATTACTCCCGAGGCATATTGAATTTGGCAATTGATTTCTTAAGTGTCATGTTTCTGGTTAACTATTGAATGATGTAGAGTTCTAGAAAATATTACTTAGTCCGGATTGCATAGAAGTTGATAAGAAATGCTTGGCAAATAGCTATTTTACAGTGACATTCACACACTAAAATATGCTAAAAAACCAATTATAAATATGCTTACCGGCTTGTTTTGCTTTTTCAATAAATAAGCACACTGAAAACTACCACTAATTGATGCAACTAAATTTCTTCACATTGCATGATCTGTTGATTTTGGCAAGGTATCCAATTTGATTATAATTACATTTTTAATGATAAAAGGTTCGTGTTTGACCCAAAAGAATAAATAAAATTGACACCTTATTGGTTAGAGACATAGGGAATCAGAATGAGATTTCGCTATGATTGACCTGGTTAATAATCGAAGTGTTAGCCGATAGCCTGAGAGGATGACTATTTGGTGCCACTGATATTTCAGTTTCTGGTTTGCACGTAGTTTTTTTGTTAATCAGTGACACCCGCAAAAAGATCATGCAATAATCCCAATTATGCAATTGCACAGGCGAAATGGCTCTTCTTGTTGAAGGGTTGGAGGTCGGAAGGGATACCTTCATTGAAGAGTACATCATTGGTCCTGCTATCGAACCAGCTGATGACCACGTCGCTGATGGTGATAGAGAACAAATAATACTATTTGGGCCTGAAGAGGGCCAATCATGGATAGCTCGGCCTTCCAAAGGACCCAGCATGCTTGGAAGTGTGCTTTCTATCGGATCTCGTCATGGCAGCATGGTGAACCAAAATGTACCCTTTACGGATCCTATTGTCACGCTTTTTGGGAGTGTCCAAGAGAACATCTCTCTCGCTGGAGGAAGTATGAGGAGAAAAGTGTCTTCAAAATTTGACAGTATGATCAGTATCACAGATCAGCACCCCAAGACCGAGCAGTGGGACGAGGAGTATGCAACTGATGGTGCTGCAAGTGACTATGAAAACAATGTACACAGCCCTCTGCTGTCCCGACAGAATACAAGTGCCGAAGGGAAGGACATTGCACATCACGGGCACCGTGGAGGTGCTTTGGGTTTGAGAAGAAGCCTGTCCGATGAGGGTGGTGAGGCAGCAACCAGCACTGGCATTGGTGGCGGATGGCAGCTCGCCTGGAAATGGTCAGAGCGAGAAGGTGAGGACGGTAAGAAGGAAGGGAGTTTCAAAAGAATCTACTTACACCAAGAGGGAGTTGCTGGCTCAATAAGGGGATCTGTTGTCTCACTTCCTGGTGGAGGTGATGCCTCTGAAGGTGGTAAGTTCATACATGCTGCTGCTCTGGTCAGCCAGTCAGCTCTTTACCCGAGGGATATTACAGAACAGCGCATGGCCGGTCCAGCCACAATGCACCCATCAGAGGCAGCTGCCAAAGTTCCAAGCTGGAGAGACCTGTTTGAACCTGGTGTGAGACGTGCCCTGTTAGTTGGTATTGGAATTCAGATCCTTCAACAGGTAGATATATACCATACATAGTCGATCAGTTTATTGCACGGAAGTGCATTCGCATTGTTCCTCTATGCTTGATATTTGGAAAAATGGAAACAAATTTAACATTCAAATAGCTAAATGAACCATAATTGTTTTTCAAAAAGCAACTCACACACTTCTTTAAGTTCCTATGAAATTTGTAGCTTCAAAGATAAGATTCTTAACTGCATCCTCTCATGAGTTCACTAACTTGATTTCCTTTCCCTCGTATAGTTCGCGGGAATAAATGGGGTTCTCTACTACACTCCGCAAATTATGGAGCAAGCTGGTGTGGCAGTTCTTATTTCCAATCTTGGTCTCAGTTCGGCATCAGCATCCATCCTAATTAGTTCTGTCACCGCCCTACTTATGCTCCCTAGCATTGGTTTAGCCATGAGACTTATGGATGTATCTGGAAGAAGGTAACTTGTTTGTTTTTCATCTTAGTACTACCACTTACCCGAAATATGCAAAATCCGCCTAAAGTACCATTATATAATTCATCGCCTCTGTTTCTTCAGGTTTCTGCTGCTAAGGACAATTCCAGTCTTGATAGCATCTTTAATTGTCCTGGTTGTGTCTAATGTTATCGAGTTGGGTACAGTGGTCCATGCTGTGCTCTCCACAATTAGTGTCATCACCTACTTATGCTGCTTCAAAATGGGCTTTGGCCCCATTCCCAACATTCTATGTGCAGAGTTTTTTCCAACCAGGGTTCGTGGCATCTGCATTGCCATCTGTGCCTTGGTATTTTGGGTTGGAGACATTATCGTCACATACAGTCTTCCTGTGATGCTGAATGCTACTGGTCTAGCAGGCGTGTTTGGCATATACGCAGTTGCCTGTGCCATTGCCTTTGTGTTTGTCTATCTTAAGGTTCCGGAGACAAAGGGCATGCCCCTTGAGGTCATCACTGAGTTCTTTGCAGTCGGTGCAAAGCAAGCGGTTGCAAAGGCCTAGTTCCTTCGGCAACTTTGCTTGCAACTTTTGCACCATGCAACTTGAAGGAATCTCACCAACAGGTTTGGGAGGTTTTTGATCTGTAAATGAGAGGAACGCAGATATGTGCCCATTCTCCTTAAGCGACACTGATCAATGGCAAAGAACAGCTTTTGGGTAGCGAAATTCCGTGTCATTTACCATCAGTTATTGCTTATTTGTACTTATTTGTACTGTATTAGGTATGTTGCTGTTAATAACTGCTTTGTGGTGGAGATGTTTTAAGTTCTGATCTGATTTTGAGGTACCATATGAAGTCTAAATAAAGAAAGTTTTTCATGTTGGTTGCAAAGATTCTGCATTGTTCCTCAGTTCAGAAAGAAGTTATGATTAGTCACACGGTATAATTATCTGCATAATGAAGTAGTTCTGTTGGGCATATTTCTAGAAACGGGATGCCTATGATGGTATGCACTATTCAATTCAAGAGATTACTGTTATATGCCACCTTATATCTCCTTGATAATGATAACGCCTCTTTAAATGTGAAAGCGCCAAAAAGGGTTCATGTTTTGAAAGTCAACTGTTTTGTGTGGAAAGGCAGCTCCATTTTGCTACAACAGAATCGGCTGGAGAGTCATCGTTACTTTATCATTGACGTTCAGATTATCCTAAAGAATATAGTCCATCAGTACTGCTATGTTTCTTGTAGCAGATTATACTCTGTAAAGATCTTAAAAACTAATATCGTAAATGGCCAGTCATATTCTCGTATATGTAGCAGATAAAATGTTGTAAACAACAACATGAATATTACATCGTCACATGGACAAGATACTCACATGGCCTCTAGTCTTCTCCGCACCATCACCGGTGATGCACAGTATCGGACCCCATTTCTGGAATCCACTGTGCTTACCGTATCAGTCCCTAGATCAGTAGCTGATACGCATAATTACAGAGTAGCATCACAGTCATACCACGGTTACATTACATTAAAGGTCCTTACATCGCAGTCTTACACAAAAGGCCTATTGGCTAACACATACATTACACAACGGAAACTAAACATAGATAGCCTAAGCCACAGGCTGAACGGGAGCAGGTGAAACCCTAATCTACGTCTTTGGCATCCGAAGTCGTACTCTTGCTCTTCTGCTGAAAATAAAGAGAGAGGCATGAGTACATAAGGTAGTTAGCAAGCCCTACCACTACTGCAAAGTATTTCAGATGCATAGGGTAGGAACAAGGAAAGGCTTAGGGTTTTATAATTTGCAGAAAGCAAGGTTTAATGCAACTGGTATTTTTAGTGTGACTGTTTTAAAGAAAAGCAAAGGGAAGATAGAGGGCATCCTGTTCAAGTATAAAGAGGATTGTGGGCCCTGGGGGAGATACATCAATCCCGCCGGTTCCCAAACAGACGAGGCTCGACACGCCTCAAAAATAATTTATAGGTTATTGAGAATCCAAACACGTTGGATCTCCTTTATCCAGTAAAGCTACACAGCCTCACACAACTCCACATGGCAAAATAAATTATAGTTTTCTCAAAGCACGCACGCAAAAGAACTCACGTCAAAAGATTACTCACGCCAAAAGTCTAATCATTGAGACCACACCATAGCGATGCCATTGACCGCAGGCACGGCTATCCAGATAGATTTACACTCTACAGAGGTGGTACACTTTACCCACACGTTATACCTGAGCTGAATCAGGCATAACGAGATCCCATACCCACTTTGCAAATCACCAGCAACCACCCGCGGGACTTTACTACCAGGGGCCCATTCATGCACACAGATAGATAAAATGGATCCATAGATGAGAAGTCCGGAACTAGACACGGTACGCCACACAGGTCCCGCGCCCGCTCCTGGTGCCAAAGCTGCACCCTGCCTCCAGGTGAATTGCGGCTCTAAGCCAGTGGGGTGTGAGACCAAGTCCGTCCCATACCGGGCGTGTGGTTGCACTATAAACGCTAGGTGAGACCTAACAATGAACCGGTCCTCAATCGGCCAGGGCAAGCTCTCCTTAGCACATGTACAAAGTAGGCACACGGCCATTGCTCACCCCCGCACTAAAATATTTTTACCCATTTTAACCCATTCACACCACTAAGGATCACGCAGCTTCACACAGTTCTAAACATTTGGAAAGACATGATTAAAAGAAGTGCAGCACAAAAGTTGAATATTCAACAGCATAAATATTTTTGTCCTAAGCGTGCTACTATTCAAGGCATATAATATATATATATATATATATATATTCATCATTATTAAGATTAATGATGAATAACCCTAGGTTAAACAGGGAACAGGTTAAGCAATTATCACGGCATGGCTTAATTCAATTTTAGGTATAACTACACAACAAAATTAATTTATTTTATAAACAAAATAGAATGCAACATTTATTTTAAAAGAGCAAGTTTTAAGTTGGTCAAATTTTAATTACTGCAAATATGGGATCAACATGATCAAGGACGGTAGGACTTGCCTTCGCCGAGGTCGTCGTTGGGTCCTACCTCGTAGTCGGGATCCTCTGGGTCGTCTCCGAAGACGTCGTCGTCTACACCTACGCGAAGGACCAACACGACACGTCACTAACGGCGCGACCAAAATAAATCAAACAATCACACATAAAATCAAATAAAATAAAAAATAAGCAAATTAGGTATGGTTGGATAGATCTCAAATTTAGATGAATTTAGGTGCAAAAATCACCCAAGTCTGAGTTAAAATGACGGAGTTATGAGTTTCCAAAGATTAAATCAGGAAAAGATGAAAAGGGAGAATATTCAGAGAATATGCTCTTTCTGATTTTTTGAATATATAAAACAGAGGGGGTTATTTTTGTAAAAACTACCCACCCGTCAGTTGACTTGGTCAACGGGGACGGCGGGGCGCTGTGCGGTGGACTCGGTCTACGGGCCGGTGGACCGGAGAGGGCTCGGGTCTGTGGTCCACGGTGGACCACACCCACAGTGGCCGAGAAACAGAGGCGCGTGCGATGGGGGCTTGCCGGAATCCTCGCCGGACGGCACGGTGGCTCGCCGCCGGCGATGGGAGGCGGATGCTCAGGCTCGAGAAGGTACAACGAGTCGTCCCACGATATCTGCCTCGCTGGCGCATCACCGGAGCGGTGGCGTGAGGTGGCCGGAAGTGATGGCGGCACGAGCGTGCAAAGAAAGTCGTGCGGAAAAGGCTTTCGAAGGGGTTTGGCGGGTGCACGAGGGTTGTGCGTGCATGTGGAATGTGTGTGTGGAAGCCGCTTGGCCGGAGCGGCCTCGACGGCGGTGAACGGCGCACGCCAAGGGCGGTGGCTCACCAGAGCGGGGAGGCACAGAGAGATAGAGGGGGACGGTCGGGGAGGTGTGTGAGAGCGAGGGAGTGCTCACCGTGGGCTCAGGTAAGGGAGAGCGGCGGTGAGCAGCGTGAATCTCTAGCAATGGCATAACGGTGGTGGAGAGGGAAGCACGGCGTGCGCGTGGTAATTGGGGGCGGTGATGTGGCGGTCGAGCTTGGTTTGGTACGGTGCGGGAAAGAGAGCACGGCTAGGGTCGTCGGCCTTTTATAGGCGCGCAATGCCAGTTCCTCGAGCGGAGCTCAGGAAATATCCCAGCGCCATGATGGCGCATGCGCGGCGGTAGAGGACTTGTGCGCGCGTTCGCATGGTGCGGCGTGGCATGGTGCACGCGGCAGAGCACGGACGGGACGCGTCGGTGCAGGCTACGCAGTGCGGCAAAGCTTCGCACGCCATCGATGGCGTACGACAGAGGGGGCGATGCAATGAGTTGGTGTATAGGCTAGGGCTAGATGGGAAGCTTGGTCTTGGCTTAGGGTTATGATGGCGAGGCTCGGGTATGCTGCAACACGAGGAAGCAGATAGGAGCAAGCGACAAGCGATGGCGGTGGCGATGGCACGCGGGAGGTGGAAGCTGGAGGAGGAAGAAAGGGGGTGGCGTTGGCATAATCCGTGAATTGCGCTTTCGTGCGGGGAAAATGGAAAGAGGGAGAAGGGAGGCAGCTGCGGCGCGGGCTGGGCTGCACGCGCGAGGGGAGAGAGGGAGTGGGCCAGGGCGTGGCACGAGCGGAGGGGAGAGGAAACGGGCTGTGGCCCGAGAGGGAAGGAAAAGGGGGAGGGAGGCTGGGCCAGAGGGAAGAAATGGAAAATGGATGGCCCAGAACGAAGGAAAAGTTTGATAATTTCCAAGGAAAGGATTTGAGCTTGAATTTCAAAAGGAATTTGAAAGAGGCACAATAGGAGCAAAAATAAATCTTATAAAACCAAACAACTCTTAAACAATCAACAAGATTTATTTGTGTAATTTAAAGTTTTGAAAAGTTTTTAAATTCAAGAGAATTTTATACCTAATTAGCTCTAATTAATTCAAATTTTAGTTGTAAAATCAAAAGTTCAAATTTTTAGTTATTTCTAGAAAATAATTAAAATTTAGGGTATTACAAATCCTACCCCTTAAAAAGAATCTCGTCCTCGAGATTCGGACTAGTCCTCGAACAGGTGGGGAAATTCCTTTCTTAAGTCATCTTCTCGCTCCCAGGTAGCTTCGGCGTACGTGTGATTGCTCCATTGTCCTCGATAGAATCTGACTGTTGGCCTCCTTGTTTGACGAGTTGCCACATCCAATATTTTAATTGGCCTTTCATGATATTGGAGGTCAGGTTGGAGAACCATCACTTCCAAAGGTACGTGTTCCTCGGGGACTCTTAGACACTTGTTCAGTTGAGATACATGAAAGACACTGTGTATGTCCGACATCTCTTCAGAAAGCCGTGGGGGTATAACCCCCGATACCCATGGGCTATACATGGGCCGAGCCACCAGGGGAGGTCTAGCCCACAAGAATATGCCACGCAGGGCATGGTACATGTCGGCGTGCCCCGCAAGGCTACATCAAGATCTTTGGCGATCAAGGAAAATCTGTTCGGATATGCTAGATTCCGCGATCTCTGTAATTCATATCTTGTAAATCGATCAGGATAGATGCAACCGAC